CCACTTGTCCCCGCCTACACTTCTTTTCTTCGTCATCTTCACTCTGGGGTGACTTCATGCTCTTGGCAGACCCTGCTTACATCTTCTGGTACCTCTCTGAGCAAGGATGTCTTAGGGTGGAAGCCTGCGGAAACTTTGCAGATTTGAAAATATTTCTTATACAGAAGTTTGAATTTTCTTTCAAAATTGGGATGTCTCCCTGGGTAGGGCCCTGGTCTCTAGCAAGACCCTTCCTGCTTCAGGTGCTTAGAAGGTCTTTGCCCTGTCTCCACCAATCTGAAATCCTAATTCTGTGGCTTCCTGCTGGATGTTGGAGAAGAAGTTCCCTCACATAATGGGGACTGGGGATGGGGCCCAAGGCTTAATACTATCTCCCATGTCTTTCCATTTTTTCTGTGTGCTTTGTCCAGAGCACTTGTCATTGGGCCTGTTTTCTTCTGACACCAAAATTTGGTGTCCTTTTCTTCCTCCCTTCTCTTGTTTAGCTTTTCTTTTCTGGGACCTTCGGTTGAGTTCTGTGGTCAGAACTTGAGTCTGTAATTATGCTCTGCTGTTTGTAATCTGGCTACAGCTTAGCTAATGTAAAATGCATCCTCTTGATGCATGCAATCAGTCAATGATCCACACATGTAAGCAGTAGGGTGATTACCGGTAGCTTCCTGAGACGTTTCCTTCCACCTTCCCTCTCAGAAGCCTCTCCCAGCCAGCACTCCTCCATGCCCTCCTCCATGCCCTCCTCCCTGTGTCTACCGCCAAGTCCTCACCTATGGCTTGCTTATTACAGACAGTTACAAGACTGGGATTAGTGTGTAGGGTCTGCTGTGGGTGTTGCATCCAACACGAAGTTTAAGGGTTCATGTGGTAGTTGTATCGCTGACTGCTTTGCATTGTCAGTATTGGGTTGCCCAACCATCCATCCTTTAATGGGCCTTAAGCTTATGTTTCTGTTTGTAGCGTGAGTGTCGCTACCAGAAGTATTACTATGACCTTGCCATGCGTATGTTTTCTGTTATGAGTGTGGGCCCAGGAGTGTGATACTTAGTCTGGTGGCATCAACTGTGATCAGGGGCTAGTTTCCTACATCCTTACCAGCACGGGCCATTCTTCTGTGATTTAGGTGTCCTAGTGCCTGATTTTCTGTGTGCTCTCAGAGTCCCTTTAACTGCACATGGCTTCTCCAGTGTGCCATCATTTATGTCATTGTGTTAGTGCCGTTGAGTTTTTTTGTTTTTTGTTTTATCCGGCTTTTGTTGTTTTTGGAAGTCTGGCTATGACTTCTCCCATTTTCCATTCATTGTAACTTAGGTTTGGAAATCTTTGATTAATTAATGCTGACTGCAAACTGACTGTGCAGGGCTTTTGGACTGCTGTGTGATGATAGCCTCAGTTAGTTACCGATGGAGGGTTAGCTGGTGCCCGCACTTGGATCTTCCCTCTGTCTTCCCAGGAAGACACAGGGCTGGGGCGACACATGGCCGTTTTCAGATTTGTTTGCTCAGGTTTCCTCACCCCATGTTTTAGGTCAGCACTAGAGCGTGTGTGTGTGTGTGTGTGTGTGTGTGTGTGTGTGTGTGTGTGTGTGTGTGTGTGTGTGTAGCACTTTCCCTCATGGAGTGGGAAGCAGGAGCTGGCCTCCAAGGCTTGACAGAGGGCTTGCAGCTGGTTCTTGCTTGAGCTGCAGTCTCCTTTACCTGCAGAAGAAACTCAGCATGACACAGCCTGCTGAGACTGCACAGTCTACTGTGCAGACCCACTGCTTCCGTGTCTCACTCCGACTCCGAGCTGACACAGATTACATCTGTCTTCTTGTGTCTGTCTCTCAACCTTGTTGGTCTGTGCTCTGTGTAGAGACAGTGGTTCCGACATGGTTTTAGGTCCTTTCAGCTAAGCAGTGCAAACACCAACTGTTCCTCTTTCCTGATCAGTGAGTCTGAGTTAGAGCTCACTGATTTTTTTCTGATCTATTTTAAACTAATTGTATCTGCAGAGAGCTTTCTAGGCAAGGTTAATCTGAGGTAGGGTAGTAGTTGCCAGGCTAGCCTAGAACTTCAGCATACCACTGAGGAGAGGACAGTGCTTCAGTCACGGACACTGGCTAGACTGCTCTTCGCAGCTCATGTGGAAAAGAATGGTGGGTTTTGGAGTCATTTTTAACATTATTAGGAATACTGGATATCGTGCAGAAAACAGTACCACACGCAAAGATTAGAGCGACACGGAAGCTGAAGGGGGTTTAAACCCAACATGGTATTTAACTGGAGTTGTCGTTGCCTGCAGTTGTCTTCATCTCTGCAATTAAGGTTGCCTCAGCAGTAGAAGTATATTGTTGAGATCCACTACCGATAACAGGAAGAAACCACATATTCAAACAAATGCTAAGTGTATCTCATGAGGACCAATTTTCGTATGCACAGAAGTCTCAGTGCATGGCTGACCTTGTTCTTATTGAAGACAGGGTTGACTGTGACCATGCTTGTTCTAAACATCACTGCAGGAAGACAAGAGCAAAGGGGATAAGCACAGCACTAGAAGGGTAGCAGTGTCACTGGGGCCTCTGGGTGGTACAGTTGGGCGCACAGGATGTCCAAGAGAATCTTGGGTCAATCGCTGACACTCTGGAATTTACTTTGTGCATTCTGTTTTGCAAACTTTTACATCTGTTTGTAAGTGACATTGTAAAATGAACAAGTTTGTTGCAGTCAACAGATACAAATTAGTTATATTCCTTCACAAATGTGAGACCCACTTGAGAAATGTAAGAGGAGCAATGAAGATGGTATTCATGCAGGTGATAGAAACTGGTGTGGTTTTAGGAAAGCATCTGAGAAGGGCTCTTATTTAGCCATAACCAGCCATAGAGTTAGAGATGGAAACATGCCCCTTATATCCCTACAGTACTTGTGTTTGAGTTTGGGAGAGGTACGTCTTTGCCATCTTAAATTGCATTCTCTTGATACCATAAAGGTGGTGCCTAGTCCTCATCTGAGCTCGTGTCCTCCTGCTAATGCACTCCCCTTCTTGGAACTGGGGAGCCAGGTTTGCTTATGTTAGAGATTCTTTGGCTTCTGGTGTGTTCTGACTGCGTCAAGGTTATTGTGTTGGTGCTAAGTGCATGGTGGAAATGTGAGGTGTCTGTGCTGTCAAGCTTCGTGTGCTTTCCTGTGCTTTGATGGTGTTCCGGGGTCATCCTGATAGTGGTAAACCACGACACATAACTAGTCCATGTAGAGGGTATGTAGTATATATGAAAGGTTTAAGTGTTGGCAGCTGCATGTGCTGGTGTTGCTGACGAGGTCATCTGTCACCTTTTGATGTAAGTTTTGGGAGTGTGCATGCATAAGAATAAATCTTAAAAGAGGTACAGACATAAATAGGAAAAAAGAGTGTGTAAGTGCTAGATAGCATAAGATAATTCTCATCTTTATATGAGAAAGACCCTGCTAAATTTGTTTCTGGGAGCAAGGCCTCAGCATATACTCAGACACACTTAATTCTGTCAGTGTTTAGACACCTCCGTTTGCTGTATGAGTGTCCTTGAGTGGTTATTAGCAAGCACACATATATGCAAATGTGGTGAGAGGCTACTGCCTATCAAATACTGTGGTTTACCAAGCAAGTGTCAGGCTGTTAAGGAAAAAGAAAGAATGCCCAGAAATGACTGAGAAGACCTCTCATCGTGGATGAGGGGTAGGGAGTGACTGGGGAGATGGCTGAGCCAGGAATGGTGCTCTCTACCCAAGCCTGACAATCTGGATTCCATCCATTGAACCAACTCCACAAGGCTGTCATCTGACCTCCACACATGTGCAAAGTCACTGTCCACACGGACATGTACAGCCACACAATAAGTTATTAAATAAATGCTAATGGAAATGTCTGTAAGGCTATCCAAGATCACAGCTGTGGAGAATCAGGGAGGTCCATTGCTTGCTGTTAAGAAAGATTGAGCAGGACCAAGTGCCCTTCAGAAGAGAACTGGGACATTGAGTCCCCTGGGAAAGGTGATGAAAAGCTAAGTTGTATGGAGATTGCAGAGGACCTGTAGTTTTCACTGCATTGGTCTAGCCTGGGTTTGTGCCTGTTTTAGCTGGTATGTATTTGTAGCTACAAAATGATACAGGCACTGGAGTGGAGACAGTACTGTCCTCTCCAGAGCCTCTGAATTGATGTGAGACTGACTGTTGAGACAGGAGAGCTGGGTGTAGTTCCTGGTGTGAACCTGCCTGTATTAGAGGCAGGAAATCTACTGTGGTGTGTTTAAGACTGTACTGTTATTCTTGTAGTTTTTTTTTTTTTTTGTTGTTTTTTTGTTTTTTTTTTTTTGGTTTTTCGAGACAGGGTTTCTCTGTGGCTTTGGAGGCTGTCCTGGAACTCACTTGGTAGTCCAGACTGGTCTCGAACTCACAGAGATCCACCTGCCTCTGCCTCCCGAGTGCTGGGATTAAAGGCGTGCGCCACCAATGCCCGGCTTTATTCTTGTAGTTTTTACTGATTAGAAAAACTGACATTTAAAGAAACCAGCTTAAAGAAAAGAAGAAAAAAAAATCTGTGTTTTAGTTGTTGGGAACATCTGGGCAGTGTAACTAATCACACCATGATCTTCAGTTTCCTAACAGGATTTGGAACCAGACTGGGGTTGGTCCCTGCAGTGTACCACAGGTCCTCATAAAGTGACATTTTAACTTAATATTGATCCCACTATAATGTTTGATCTCTGTCGTGTTATCTCAGTCTTTATTATTTTGCTATATTCTGGTAGATTCTATGTTTCTGCTAAGTAGTAGGCAGTCAGTAACTTGTTACTGCCCTCTGGCTTCGGTGTGAAGGGACATGGCAGTTCTCACAGAGGGTAAGGGCTGGGGTTGCACAGGAGAAGAATTGCCCATTTCTGTTTGTGTGGTGCTGTGAACCACCTGTTTATATGTGCATGTTGTAGGACAGTTATACAGAATGAAATGCTATAGCAGCATAAATAGCTTACTGTGACTTTTTTCTTTCAGAACCTAAATGAATATGTTGAAGCATTAATTGCCTTGAAACAAAAAATTATTAATACAGAGTAAGTATATCTGCATGTTGAAAGACTTCTTCCAGTCTGTTCAGCTGGCTGAAGTGGGTGGTGGTTTGGTACCCCACAGTGGACACAGTGGCGCTGGGTAGAACCACTGAAACTCTTGTTTAGTGACTCCCAGCTTTTAGTAGAAAGTTATCTTTGCCATATTAGATTTAAAAGCTGTTTCTCTCTAAAACTGTTCTGTGTGCTGGGGTCACACTGTTGTATGCTACATAATGAGATTTAATTATTTTAATATTGCTTGATAGTCTCATGTTTCAAATTAAAAGCTCATAACACTTGTGTAGTGCATTGAGGAATCAGGTGATGTCAGCCTAGCATGCCATCTAGAAGGATCTGAGCCATAGCTTTTTGTGGTTTACTTGCCCAGTGAGTGACACGTGTGCCTAATCTCTCTCGTCTTTTGCAGTAACCTGCTGACGGAATATCAGAAGAAATGCGATGATATCCTTCACTTGTTTGTCCCTTTGGACATCAGCACTGACTTTTGTGTAATAACTCAAAAGATAAGAGGGCCCTCCTTTTTAATCCTTCTAAAGGCAGTGTCTGTTGCCTTAAGGGGAGCCCCTCTCAAAAGCACAGCCAGGAGCACGTCTCTTAGTGCAGTAGCAATGGCTGTGTACTGGGGATCCCAGAATGAAGTCGCCGAGCATCTCTCTTGTTTCTGTGGCTCATTTGGACTGTCTTAGGGTCTGCAGCCTTTTAGTGAGTGGATTTTCCTCCTGCATAGGGTGTGACATCAAGTGTGGGGATACATCATTGTAGCTGCATCAGTGCTTGCTAATGTGTGTCTTTAAATCTACTAAAAAACAATAAGATGTAGGAAATTGATCTTGTTCTTACTGTAGAGCATTAGTGTGTGCTTCTATAAACCATATGGGTAATGCATTTGTAAGACAGTGCTCAGTTTAGATTCACCACTGGCTTAGTAGAGGTCGAGCGAGCACCTCAGTTAACATGGTCAGATGTTTATAGCAGAAAGAAGAACCTGGTCCTGCCACTTCTTTTAGTGACACCCGCCTTGGGTTAAACCCCTCTCAAAAGAACAGAACATTTTCTTCCCCCAAATCAAGTGTGCATAGAGCCGTGGAGGTTGGCAGAGAGCTGGTTTCCCATTCAGTACTGGGGCAGCCCTGGGTCCATGGTCTGCAGTACTGTGAGCCATTTAGCTGATTGTGGCATCTGGGCTTGCTTGTGGACTCACAGTTCATTTGAGCTCTGTTGTAGTGACTTCAGAGCCTGAATGTCACATTGAGCTAAAGGTCACTGGACATTCCTGCAGGTGATTTATCCTGTTGAGATGTATAGGACAGCAGGACTGGAGGGACAGTGTGTAGGCTCCAAAGGACGCTGTAACGATAAGCGACATACAATTACTGAAAATAACTAAGTATTTATTGTAGAAATTACTCACAAGATACCAAACAAGTAACCCAGATGAGCCAAGCAGTTTTCTGCTGCCGAACCGGAAGCCGAACTCCGGGAAAAGAGAGCGAGACTTCCTGTGTGCTGTCTTTTATGCCTTCCCCCGTAACGCCCCCTAGCCATGCCCAAACGTGGGCCTGGCTAGTGACGTAGTTCCGCCTATATACATATACGTCTTTACGTCCAGCCGTATACGTCTTTAGTCCTGCCTAAAGTGGGTGTGTTTAGTGGTGTGGTAAACCGCCCTTTTATTACCTCATCTGTATGCGCCTCTAGTAAGTCACATGTTTAATGGCGGCATACAGACTTCCTCCTACAACAGTGTCTTCAGTTGAATACAGGTACTGTCAGAAACAGTTGTCACAACCGCTGACGAGAAATAGTAACACACGGGAGGCTCAGCATTGGAGCAGTATCCTTACGGCACTTTAGAGAAGCAGTGTAAAACCTTTTGGTGGTTACAATAATCTCATGATAGAGTAGGTGGTCTAATTTTCTAAAAATTTCCCATCAAATTTTAAATAAAAATAAGTTCTTTTTCTTAAAAAATTATGAATTACGTGTCTGTGTGTGGGTGTGTGCACATGCGTGCAGCACCTATGGTAGCCATCTGGTGTAGGTGTGCTGGCATCTGAACTAGATACTCTGGAAGAGCAGTGTGCCTATTAGTAGCCACTGAGCCATGTCTCCAACCCCAGAACACTTCCTTTACATAGATAAAACTTGCAGTTATTAAATTTTTTTGAGATGAAAAGATTTGGCTTCAGCCACAGAAACTAATTTGAAACACACCCTTGTCATTGTCTGCAAATATCTACTTGTTACCTCAGAAGTGTAGCTGTCTTAACTGCTGGGGTGCCAGTGTCTCTGTTTAATGTAGCTTCTTCCTAATTGGATCACTCGTAGCACCTCTTCTGAAAGCCTGGGGCATCTCCTCATGAGGTTACTACATCCCCGTGAGACTGAGGAGAACCAATGTGCATGTCTTGACCTCGAGGAGAAGTGTGATCCTGTGGCTTTGTGGAACCCTACCTTTTCTGCTGGATTGCCTGAGAAATGGAGGAGGGTTTGGGGTTCTGCGTAAATAAAAGTATTTTCCCTCAGTTAGATCAGTCTTAATTCTTGTAGTTCTAATCAATTGATAGTAGAGAAACAGATGTTTTGACTTGGGTTCTGTCTTAGTCAGTGTGCTAATGCAGTGAAGAAACACCATGACCAAGGCAACTCTTAGAAAAAAAACATTTAATTGGGTGTTGCTCTCAGTTTCGGAGGTTTGTTCTATTGTCATCATAGTGAGAAGTGTGGTGGCATGCAGGCAGGTGCTGGAGCAGTAGCTGAGTGTTACTTCCTAATCTGTTGGTGGATAGTGGTCAGGGGAAGGGATGTTGGGCCTAGTGTGAGCTTCTTTAAACTGCCAAGCCCACCTCCAGTGACGCATTTCCTCTACAAAGCCACACCTATTTCAGCAAGGCCACATCCACTATTCCTTCTAACCCTCAAATAGTGCCACTCCCTGGAGACTAAATATTCATATCTATGATCCTGGGGGTGGGGTGGGGGCGTTCTTACTTAAACCACTAGAGTCATACATTGGTAGGTAGGGATAAAGTAGACTCACCACTGTTAGAGATGCGTGTGTGCAAATTGTGCAGCATTGTGGTTCAGCCTACGTGCACACGATTCCCACAGAATTTATCTTCAGACAAATATCAGAAGATAAAGGTTCAAGTTTTCTTTAACAAGTTTTACAGCTGCAGTTTGCAAGAAGGTGAGCTGCCTGACTTCATATCTGTTGATAACACCTGAATGTTTGTGTAGAGGTGGATATATGGCAGGCCAGAGCCTAGGAGACCTGCTTAGGATTGAAATGCTTCAGATGCTCCCCTTGCAAGCAGATTTGCATGGTCCTATCAGGTCCCTCAAATGCATCAATTACATTGACTTCAAATTAAAACCTCTGGCTTGTTCCAGTAACTGTTAACCACACTGTGAGCTGAAGTTCTATTACTTTTGCCCTCACAATTACACTGTTCAATGCCATTTATCCTGTGTTTATAACAAAATAAAGCCACTAAATTTTAATCATGTTTTATGTTCCAACTATAATTATAATTATAACCCAGAAGTTAGCATGAAGGTATAAATCATTGCATTTGGATTACACTTATCATTTAAAAGTCAACATGAGGTTATAAATCAGGTATAAATATCATCACTGTATCACTTAATTGGAACAAATGGGGGAAGATGAGGATCAGAAGATTGGACATGCCAGATGTTTGGCAGACTTCTCTGCTGTATTAAAATCTGTTGGGCTAGTTTCTGATGTTGCTTTTTGGTAGTTTCATTAAAAAGTTTGTTATGCCTAAAAGATAAAGAACAGTCTGATTGTCGGCATGAGCAGGAAGAATCATTTAGAGTTAGATTTCAGTAATGCACTCCAGCTGTCTGTGCTCAGTGATGCTGATGCCTTGTCCTTGTTCATTTTCAGAGAGAATAGCATGCTGCATCACCAAGTGGAGCAGATGCTTCAGAAAATCTCCCCTCTGCAGAAATGCCAGGAGGAGCTGGGATCCTTGAAAGCAGAGCTGGAGGAGAAAAAGGTGCCCAGAGCCACTTTCCTATAGAGGGTCACTGTCAGTGTGAGCATCAACTCCTGCCCTTGCTAGAGCCACTTTCCTGTAGAGGGTCACTGTCAGTGTGAGCATCAACTCCTGCCCTTGCTAACTGGAATTCAGGAGCGTTTACATGTTAGCAGAGGATGTAAGTGCTAGAGGAAACCCTTCTTTGTCTCCTTGTAGAGCACCCTGCTCTGGTTGATGCCTGTCTTTGGAATGATTCATGGGACTCTGCACAAGGGTCAAAAGGCTTATGTGTAAACTCTTGTGATTATATGTTCCCTGCAGTAATTATCTCTCTTAGTCTTAAATTGTCTTTTCTTAAGTGGGAAATAGCATGTAGACATTCAGAGTTAGTGGTAGGAAAATCATTGTGTGACAATGTGGGAAATACTGGCTTTCCTTGGTGGTACAGGTCTAGCCTCAGCTCAGCAGTCAGGGCCTCTGCTCTGGTAGATCTCCACTGTCCTTTAAATACTGCTCTGGAATCTTGAGCCACTTAATATGAATGGTCTTGACAGATGGGTTTGGTGACTGTGCTTAGTCTCTCTGGTTTCTTAGGACCATGAGGTCCACAGAGAGCCGCTCTCATTCACATATTTCAGGTTCTTAGAGGTGAGTGTTTGCTCATTTCCTTTGAGGGAGCCAGGGCCTTGAGAGAAGATGCTTCAGATAGGAGACTGCTGCTTTGACCCCTCATGGGCTCTGTTCTTCAAAGTCAAGCCCTTTGAAGCAGTGCCCTCAAGCTACTGTATAGCCTTCCTGCTGAGCTTTGTATTTTCAGAGGAACCAGGGGAGCGTGTCCCTGGAGTGCATAGCAGAAGCATCCGAAGCTCCAGCTAGGTGGCCGAGCTGAGGAGATGGAGCTGTCTGGGTATTATCCAGCCTGGGTCCTTTCTGGTTCTTTTCAGAGAAGATTGTGGGCCTTGCTGATGATTCTGGCTGTGCAGTCAGTGTTGTGCTACCAGATGAGAATATAGCTTTTGGGGTGATACTTACCTTTCCTGTTTCCTTGTTAGAGTTGTCTGAAGCTGTATCAGGACACTCACCAGGAATACGCCCGTGTGAAAGAGGAATGTTTGCGAAGTGATGCCCAGTAAGTGGATTACTGTTGACCTGGGACTTTCATCTTTGACATCGGAATATTTGTAAATAATGGTGTCTTCTTTCTTCCTGTTTCTGTTCATTGGTTATAATTAATTAGCTGTGTAAACTTGGGCTAATCTCTCAGTCACAGTTTTCACCAGTGTCACATGGGGGTCAGCACTGTTGTGACCAAGGGGTCATCTGGTGCTGAAAGGCTGCACACACAAAGGTATTGGCCATGCTTGCTTTGTCATGTGTGAGCTGCACCTATGTCTGTGTGTCCAGATCCAGTCGTGGGCTCCTTTACAGGTATCACCTGTTGTAGTGTCTCACTGTAGAAGGGCCTTCGTTACCAGGAATGAAAGGGGCTAAGCATCTTGCTAGTTATGTTGAAGTTTGGTACACCATGCAGAAAACACCAGTGGGGCTGTATGAGCCATTGCTTGTTGGGGCTGTGACATGGCAGTGTTTGAGAGACTTCCTGAGCTTCCTGCCTTCTTTACTCTCACTCTCCGCCTGCTGCTTCCCTTGCTCACAGTGCGTGTTCCTGAAAAGTCCCTGGTGGGTTAGGTGCAGGATGGACCAGGAGATCTTTGGACACAGCCCAGAGATGACACTGTTGTCTAAAGTAGAGGCCTTGAATATGTTTGTAACAAACTCTCAATAGGCCCTTTTTGTGTTTCTCAAACCAAGTCAGGTTTTTAAAAACCCATTTTAGGAATACTGTATAGTAAATAGTGTGGTGTTCTTTCTCAGGCTTCTTCTACCATAAGCTCAATTGCTGGTGATTTAGTTATGAGTGAAAAGCTCTTATGTGCACCATGTGTGATGAGTTGTAATTCCCTTTGCCATCTAACTGACAAGGCTTTATTACTAGGAAGAAGAAGCTAGAAGCTAAGGTGAAGAAGCTGGAAGGTAAGTGCACCTGTTGTTTGCTGGCCAGCAGAACCATGTCATTGTGCAGACCCTGGTAAGTGTGAGGCCGAGTGTCCGTGGGGTGTGCTAGGAAGGGGGCATGTCCTCCCCTCAGTAGTCAGCTCTGTGTGTGGAGATGAGTGTGTGCTGCTCTGCCCAAACTAATCCTTTCTCTGTAGCCCTTTGCTGTCACAGGCAACATGGAAGGAAGCGCAGCGATTCCATTTTGAAAGTTGGCTCTTGTAGCTATTTCTGCTTCTTTTAGTCCCAATTGAAATTGGTGGCTGCTAGAAAAGGCAGCCACTTTGTGTGTTGTCTTGGTCAGGGTTTCCGTTGCTATGATAAACAACATGACCAAAGCACTTTGAGGAGGAAAGGGTCTAGTTGGCTTGTGTATCCAAATCCATTGAGAGATGCTAAGGCAGGAACCTGGAGGCAGGAGCTGATGCAGAGGCCATGGAGGATGGTGCTTACTGGCTTGCTCTTTGTGGCTTGCCCAGCCTGCTATCTTATAAAAACCAGTACCACCAGCCCAGAGGTGTCACCACCCACAATGGGCTAGACCCTACTGTATCAATCACTAAGAAAATTCTCTACAGGCTTTCCTGTAGCCTGAACTATGGAGGCATTTCCTCAGTTGAAGTTCCCTCCTTTCAAATGACTCTAGCCTTTGCCAAGTTGATGTCAAGGAATTGATGTACATAGATAGTTCTGGTGTACACACATGCGGGCACACACACACACACACACACACACACACACAGGTTTCTTTAAAGTGCCCCACCCTGCTTGAATTTGCTGCTTCTGCTTCTGAGTAGGTGGAATACAGAAGGTGCACTGTGATCTCTAATGTCCTTACATCTTACTCAATAGCATTTTCAGAAGTCAGCTAGGAATGGAATGTCCATTGTGTTTGCAGTTACTTATGGGTAGAATCAGGTAGAGGCAATGACTGTGCTATCACTGTCTGCCTAGCATGATGTTCAGGTGTCTGCCTACATGAACTTCCTACATCCTGGTGGTTGTGCTCTCTTTCAGAATGAGGTGTTTGCATGCACACTGTGAACTTAGGAGCTCCAACTTAGTAACTTGGGGGCATTTAGAACAAGACTGCATTAAGTATTGCCATCCTCGGTTTAGGTATCAACTCTGCAGATGTTTGGATGTTGTCTGTCTCCTGAACGTTGACAGGCACAAAACACACGGCTGTGTTCTCAGTCTGTCCTCTCTTGTATGTGGAGATACGTGGACTGTCTAAGAGGCTGTATGCAGCTTTGAGAAGAGCCCCGTAAAGTCAAGTGTGGCCTTTGATTTTAGTGTAACAAAAGTAATTTTCCTTATAAATTGACAGGACATAATGAAGTGTTGAGCACAGTGTAACTCAGTGAGAAAAGAACTCTTGCTAGTGTCTAGTAGGGCTTTGCTTTCCTTTCCTTTGCAGCTGTCTATGTCATGTCATTGTGATGTCCACCCTGGCTAGGTTCTCACAGGTGTGTGCATCGTGTGGTGCTTTTGAACCAGAAGAACGAGTGATTTGCTCATAGTCTAGAGGTCTGCACACTGTCCCAGCCAGATTGTTGATGGAAGGATTTGGAGTTGCTGTGTCAGGTGTGGGAAGGGTCCTCACAGCCTTAGTCAGTTCTGTAACTTCATGAGTAGGTAGTAACTATCATTACATTAGTCTAGTTTTAGGAAAGGAAAAAGGCTGGCACCAGATCAACGGGATCAGGCCACTAACTCTCCCCTCTTTCTGTTGCTTTGCTGTACCTATTACACATAGAGGCTGCCATCAAGCAAACTCAGGACTTCAAGCAATTGAGAAATGAAAAGAAAATACTTGAAAAGGAATTTAAGAAGACACAGGTACTGGGTAAAATGATGCACACACTTTATATCCCTAACTCATGGCCTCTGTGGACACAGGTACCGAGTAAAAGAGGCACACACTTAACATTCCGACCTGGGGTTTCTGTGGACACAGGGCCTGTGTAGAAGTTGAGCACACTTTAGATCCCGACTCGGCTTCTGCGGCATCCAGGCTGTGGCTACAGTCACTGTCTATTACCTTGCACCCGTCTGACCTTTGCTCCACAGTGTTTGCTTCTGTACAGCATAAGCATTCTTGGTGTTTCTCTCCCCCACCACAGGAAAGGTTTGATGAATTTACCAAACAGAAAAATGAGAAGGGTGAGTATTCAGTTAATGCTTACATGAAGAGCCAGTTTTAGTGTGCAGTGTTTATTTTAAACCCTTCTCTTTGTTTTTAGAGTTGAGACACATTGGAACACAGATCTCAAGTGACTCTCATGGAAGCATAGATAAAAGTGAGTATCCTAACAGTGTGGTTTAATGCATGAGGGAGGCACAAGGAAGAAAAGGCAGGAAGCACAGGTGTGTGTGTGTGCGCGCGCACGTGCGTGTGCGTGTGTGCGTGCGCGTGTGTCTCAGATAAAATGAAGCAGAGAACTGACTGTGGGGCTCAGTAGTACCCATGTGAAAGCAGTAAGGGCTTCAGAACAATTCTGTGTGGATTAAAGGCTCAGAAGATATGGAGTAGATTGAAGGTCCTGTCCACTAAGAAGTACTGTCTGCTGCACACCCAAGCACATGAACCTATGCCAGACAAACCTCTTGCCTCTTGGGGATTCCTTCAGAAAGGGGCCAGTCTTCATTGGGAATGTCATGTTTGTCTTTGAAAGAAGGGCATGAAGCAGGTGTCAGAGTGTAAACCATATACCCAGTGTTCTTTAGAACACTTTTCAGAACTTCATTAAGGTTGGCTACTATGACTAAAAATGTAAGTGTGATGTTGATAAAATTCTCTCCTCCCTTAAGTCAATAAAGCAGAAAAACTTGGGTGGTTTCGGTGACTGGCCTTTGATCATGATGATAGCAGTCCCACAGTAAATGTGGTCAAGAACAGGAGAGCCTGTGCCCACACAGGCTCTGCAGCCACAGCAGTATCAGTTCCCAGTGTCAGTCAGATGTGGAGTGGATGACAGATCCACTGGGAAATGGGATTAGAACAGATAGAGTGTGGTGAAGCTGTGTCGATGATCATGCAAACCTGCAGTGTGTTTTATTGAACCAACTGGAGATGAAGAGTAAGAGCCGCCCTTTTTCAAGAGGCGGTTGTCCAACATCGGGTGTCTGGAGCAAGACCCATGGCAGTGCACAGCATCCACAGGAGGACGAGGGCGGAGCATAAACATCTAGAGCTAGTGTTACTTCAGCTCAGCAGGATGAGCTGCCACAACAGCAAGTCCTTTAAAGAAAGGGCTGGCTGCCACACTCAGCGTGGCCTGAAGACACTTTTGATCCCGAGAATGACAGTGCAGTGGAAAGTCAGAAGAGTTGCGAGCACCATAGGTTGTGATAGAAGAAGAGACACTTGAGAGATGAAGCCTATGTGCAGTCACAGCTAAGTCACAAAGCTGCACGGAAGAGTCCTCTGCTTGTTGGGAAGGGCTAGCCTGGGACACCTGTGAGAAGGCATGTGTGCTCTGTGGTATCGTGCCTGTCCTCCAGGGGCATGGAAACGTAACCTTTTCTTTGTTTTTAGGGGTCTTTGCTGTTGTGGGTGTGTGTACTCAGCAGGGATCTATCTGGTCAGGTCACTTAAACAAAGGGGAGGACTTGAGGAGCCCCCAGTGATACATAGCTGGGTCGCCCTGGAATAGAAAAGGTGCGGCCGACTGTTCAGACTCTGATAGCTAAGTCAGTTGCGCTTATCTTGATGTCCCATCCATGGACTTAGGTTTTGGGGTGACATGGTTCAGTGTTCTTAATATGGCGGCACTGTATTAAAGCCTTGGCTGATTTCCTGAAGGTTTTAATGGATTCTTGACTGGGTTAAAGATTTCACCCATTTCTTTGAAGTCTTACTTTAGGAACTTATTAGTTTAATTGACCTCAAAATTGTTTCACATTGAAATTTAATCACTATGAGTTATTTTTTTAAATCCATGCTTCATCTTAGTTGTGTTTATATTTTTATAAGTATTTTTTGCCTTGATTGATATTTTTGGAATTTGTATATTTAATGAGTTACAGAAACTTTATCCCTGATACTGTACTATTCCTATGCTTTCATCAGACCCCTTGTTTACATGTTCCTCTTGGCCTTTCAGCTTGGGTCAGTGGTTCTGCAGCAGTTGGAGCGTCCAGACATCTTTGGAACTTTCAAAGTCCCGGCAGTTTCCCATCCTTGTGAAATGTGCCCTCCTCCCTGCTGCTGTGGGCGCCACTCCTCCCCTCTGGCCCCATCCATGGGCTCTGTACAATCTCCCTCCTCTGGGTGGCTGCTGCATGGTTGTCTGGTGCCTCTGCTGATGTACTTATGTAACTGAGGGGTGCTTTGCCATTGTTGTACCCAGCAGTCTGGAACAAGGGCACATGAGAATAGAGAGAAGCCCTGATGTCTTTATAACAAGTGGGCGGGGTCTTCCGAGTCCTTGCCCTAGAACAGTGGTTCTCAACCTGTGGGTCTCAACCCCTTTGGGGTGGTCAAACAGTTCTTTCACAGGGATTGCCTAAGACCAACGGAAAACACATATTTACATGGCTATTCATAACAGCAGCAAGATTACAGTTATGAAGTAGCAATGAAAACAATTTGATAGTTGGGGGTCACCACAAAATGAGGAACTGTATTAAAGGGTCACAGCATTAGGAAGGTTGAGAACCACTGCCCTAGAAGAAAGAAAATGCAGACAAACCTGTGTCAAGTCTCCAGTTTTCAGCCAAAGCATTGCCAGACTTCAGTTGACAGTGGACAGGTTATGCATAGTGGCTATAGTGGGGATGTAGGGGTGCCATCTCCTAAGTGGATAAGGAGTCTCGCTGGGCTCCACAGAACTGTGGCTGATCTGGTGCCTTGCTCTTCACAGGGAAGGTGAAAGTTCTCCTGAAAGAGCTCTGGCTCTGTGTGAACACTGCTCACAGGCTGTCCGGGGAAAGCTGCAGGCGCATCCCAGGTGAGTGGTACCACAGGGGCTCCTTACACATGAACTGACATCGTTTGCCTCCACCTGCATTGCAGCCTCCAGTGTGCAGCTGAAACATATGAAGTAGTATGATCTAATCCCAGCAAACAGTTGACTTTTGGTAGCAGCTCTCAGAAGAGCGCTGGGAGGGGAAGCTAAGGCATGCTTGACCTTGTGTGTGGAAGAGCTCCTGTACTACTAAGTAGCTTCTTTCTGCTTATCTTCACACAAGAATGGTTAAACAATGGAAAACTCCCTTAGAACTCTTTTCTAATCCTGTTAACTGTGGGGCTCACGGATTTGCACATGTCCCCCCCATACAGGGCTCTAGTCCCAGACTCCATTTCCCATTTCTGCTCGAGACTGCTGGGGCCTGGTAACAGGATATATGTCACACTATGATCCACTGAGGGTAGATCTCCTTTGCTTCCAGTTTGCTCAGTGAAGATTTTTTTAATCTCATCCATTTGCATTTAGTTACTGGAATTCTCACATAAGAAAGGCTGTCCCTGTCCACTATGCGTCTCTGGTCTATTTCACATCTGGGTAGCTCAACTGTTTCCCAGTGCATTGCAGTCCCATGCCCTCCTCTCCTCTCCTCTCCTCTCCTCTCCTCTCCTCTCCTCTCCTCTCCTCTCCTCTCCTCTCCTCTCCTCTCCTCTCCTCTCCTCTCCTCTCCTCTCCCCTCCCCTCCTCCCCTCCTCCCCTCTCCCCTCTCCTCTCCTCTCCTCTCCTCCCCTCCTCCCCTCTCCCCTCCCCTCCTCCTCTCTCCCCTCCCCTCCCCTCCCCTCTCCTCTCCTCTCCGCTCCTCTCCTCTCCGCTCCCCTCCCCTCCCCTCTCCTCTCCTCTCCTCTCCTGTCCTCCCCTCCCCTCTCCTCCCCTCCCCTCTCCTCCCCTCCCCTCTCCTCCCCTCCCCTCTCCTCTCCTCCCCTCTCCTCTCCTCCCTTCCTCCTGTCCAGTGCTTTGTAGTCCCATGCTCCCCTCCCCTCCCCTCCCTTCCCCTCCCCTCCCCTCCTCCTGTCCAGTGCTTTGTAGTCCCATGCTCTCCTCCCTTCCCCTCCCTCCCCTCCCTCCCCTCCCCTCCCCTCCCCTCCCCTCCCCTCCCCTCCTCTCCCCTCCCTTCCCCTCCCATCCCCTCCCCTCCTCCTGTCCAGTGCTTTGTAGTCCCATGCTCTCCTCTTGGCTGCTGAGTCTCTTCTGTTCCTTATGTCAGTGTCTCTCTGCTCCTTCCCAGTGTGTCACAGTCTTGCACTTACTGGAAGCTGCTCTGGGGACAGCTCCTCTGTGCCTTAGACATACTTGTCCTGCTTTGGTCACTTTTGTGGTCAAGTCTCACCTTGAGTTTCTGTACCACTAATATAATCCCACTTCCCTGAAGTGGTCTGGCTCTTGTGTAAAACAATTTTACAGCTGAAACACAACAGTGGGCATTTGCAGCAATGCCGTGGGCTCCATATTTCTTGACTAAATAATCTACTGAAGTTCATGAAACTCAAAGCCAACCAATGTCAAAGCTATCCATAGACATTCTGTACAAGGTGCATGAGAGCATTATTGAAAGGAAAGGGTCTCCAGTGTGCTAAGGCAGTAAGGCCTCTGTCTGCTCTGCTTCTGTGCTTCAAGCTGGGTTGTGCCTTGACGGACCACTCTCCTTCCACTTCGTGTCTCATCTACGAGAGAACCTTAGAAGCCGACTGATGACATTTTAAAGCTGTGTACTCATTTCAGCTTTCTGCTAGTAGTTTGACCTGTTATCAGGATGTAATTTGTAGGTTTTCTTGGCATTAAATATGTGATGCCTGCTTCTCTCCTGCTCAGAAAAACCCGTGAAAGAAAACAGTGTCTCCAGAGCCTCTGGGGAAGATGAGTTGCTCCCAGTGCCAGGCAGCCCTGCCAGGGCGGCTGATATGCGTTCTTTCTTCACCAAGTTGTCAATGGAGATGGAGGGTGACTTCACTTCCTCTGACAGTGCAGAAGACGAGCAGCCCCGTGGAGCAAGCCCTGGTACAGAGCTTGCTTGTCATGAGCAAAGTCATCCCAAAGTCTCAGTGGAGAGGCCTGGCGATGGCAACGGGACCAACATCTATGACCATGAACACTTCTTTGATGATGATCTTCAAGCTGCAATTGACTTCTTCAAACTTCCTCCTCCTCTTCTGTCTCCAGTGCCCTCACCCCCTCCGATGACATCACCACACCTGGGCTCTTTATCGTCCTCCCTGGCGCCTGTGAGTTGGCTTTCTGAATTTTAATTCCACATGGATGTGTTTGTCCTATGTACAAGCTATTTCAAAGGTATTAGTAGTTAGGCAAGATGTGTCGTTTTAGCCAGTTTTACTGTGAAGTAATGTAAGAAAATAAAGTGTGCCAGGGCCCTTTGCATCAACATATGTAGTGTGATTTTCTTCACTGTGTATTATGGTTACATTTTAATTGTGCTTTTTATGTAGGAAGATAGTATTTATTTTTATTACTAGTGCATAGTACATGATAGGCATGGCGGGAGTGAAGCATGTTCTTACAGACCTAGGCTGTTTCCAAGACAGTAAAATCTCCATGTCTAACGTTCCTGACCCTTGGCCCAGCAGAGTCTCAGCTTTGGGCACATCTTCAAATGCTCACATTCTCTTGCTCCACTAAGGAGTCCTGGCATTCACTTCTGTTCCAGACTCCTAGCCAGGCACTGTAGGCTCAAAGGTGATGGAGGATACAGTGTTGGGTTGTTGTGTGAATGTAAGACCAGGTGTGGAGTATAGAGCGCCTCTGCTGAGTAGAACTTTTCAGATCTGTGGGGCTCTACCTAGGAGAGGCTGGCAGGGAGGCTGTGCCTGTGTTCCTGAAGAGAGAAGCTGCTGTACAGTGGTGTATGACCCAGGGCAAACATGGCTTTGGGAATCTTGAGGTGAACCATTTCTTGAAGAGTCTTGCAAGTCTTCCTAAGAAATTCATGTGTTATTAGGGGGTTAGGAAATCGTTGACTCTAAAGGCAAAGGCTGTGACAGGTCTCCATATGAAAGTTTCTGTTTAGTCACAGTATGAATAGGAAAGGATTGACAGTTGAGAAGCAAGACGAATGCTGGTCAGGACTAGTTCTTACTGTCTGTATACAGGTTGTGGCACTGGGGCCACAGGCTGGTCTGGGTTCAAAAATGGCTTGAGGAGTGGCACTTGATAACATTTTCACTATGGTCTTTAGGAGAGATGGAGGCAAAGCAGTTACAAAACAGCTAATTTAAAACATGTTACAGAGGCTTTCTTGGGGATTCTACAAGTATCCATTGGTTTACCTATGGTTTACCTATGGTTTACCTCACTCACACTGTCTCATCTAAAATTAACACACATGATACCTAGATGGAGATGGACAATACGCAGACACTTAGAATCAGTGCTGTATACAACAGAGCCATGTGCTTGTGGCCACATTCAGTGAGCATATAGAATATAGAGAAGGTGGAGATTCAGAGAACCCTGGGCAACCACCAGCAAGGCAGGGAAAGTAGAGGCAGGGAAGAAAGACAGGTGGAGGGAATGTGGGGAAAAGCCAGGAGAGGGATCATCTAGACTCAAGCTTTGGCGAGGCAGGATTTTACGCTAGGGTTAGTTATGTTCAGCACTTGAGTTCACCCTCCCCGTGTGCATACGAAGGGCAGAGTTTGATGGCATAATAGAGAAAGATAATCTAGATGGGAGCCACTAGTTGGGATGCAGGGGGATTTTGGGAACAAAGGTGACTGACTCTACTGGCTGAAAGGAGAGGGAGAGAGTTATGGGGCAGGATCTGTGCAGTCCCAGAGTAATAATATGGCTCAGGAGCTATCCTGAGCGTGAGTGACAAGGAGAGGAGCCAGAGGGAGGTGGAGCAAGGGGCCAGTGAACCTCGGTGTAGGCAGAGCCTCATCTCTAACAGAAGGCAGAACTAGGAATGTGCAAGAGCTGAACGCCCAAACCCAGCCTGGGTGCTGTATAGACCAGGCTCAGGAGGGCATTGGTTACAGGAAGGCAGTAAGAGTGGGCGCCAGCTTCCTTCAGGATTGGGTAGAGCCTGGCACACCCTTGACAGGTATGATAGTGAGAATGTCTTTGAAAGCACCGACTCTTGTGAATATGTTCAGTAGCTCTGACAGGTTAGGTGTGCTGAGCATCTGTCTGACAGTGCTCTTTGTGTCACTTGAAGGAATCCTACTTCGGAGAGTTCACGGATTCCAGCGACTGTGACTCTGCCCCGCTTAGAAACTCTGCGGAATCAGCTTTAGAAGATTACACAACCGAGTCTCGGGGTTACTTTGACTTGCTTGAAAAACTTAGAAGGAGTGATATCTGCATGGAAAAGCCCAGGTCACAGGGAGTTGCCCAAGCTGTAAACAGACTAGCACCTGTTGGATTTGATAGCAGAAGAATAACGCTGGGAGACCCCTCGACCACATCTTCTCTAGCTCGAGGAAGGCCCTGGATAGCATCGCCTGAATTTGTGAGGGATAGGGGAGATGTCATAGACAAAGCAGAAGGAAAGGTAGCGGCCCCAGAGATGGATAAATCTGTGCGAGGCAGGAAAGGGCTGCTGAAGCATAACAGGAGATCGTGGGGGGAGAGGGCGTCCAGAAGTCCAGCCCGGAAGAAGGAAGCCAGAGCTGGAGAGCCAGAGGCTTGTTATTCTCCTTTTGGCAAGAGGACATTTAGTGAACTCATGGACTCTGAAGGGAAAACCCTGCCATCAAAAGCGTTGTGTTCACCCCAGTCAGAATTTACTAAGTGGACACTTGCTGGTGAATTTGCTTCCAAGTCACACAGTGTGATGCATTCTGGCCATTTTCAGCGAAAGGAGAAAGGCACGCAGGACTCTACTCTGGGATCCGGCGTTTATGCAGCTGCAGCAGGGCGTGATCATTCAGCCAGTCTTCCTTCCCCTTCTACCTCTGGGCCAGAGTCTCTCCGCAGTAACCCCAAGGCTTCTCGGCTAGGGTTTGTCAATGCAGGAGCTCCAGCAGATGTAACCTGCACAAGCCTACATCGTTCAGAACAAAAGGCCCCAACTAGAACTTCAAACACGTTTCTTCTGTGGTCTGAGCCAGCAGCATGTTTTCCAAAAGAATATGGCCCAGAAAACAGCTCATTTGCTTTGAGTTCCAAGTCAAAATTAGGAGCATCTACATTTAGCGATTGGAAGAGCCGGGGCCCGGAATCTTTAAACATCTTTAAAAGTACAGTGCAGGCACACCCACTCCCCCAGTCAGTATTTCAGAAGCCAGCCACAAGTGGGCAGTGTGGAAGCCGAGGTTCAGGCACTGTGCTCACATTGCCTAAGTCAGACTGGACTTCATTAACACGGTCTCAGACTGGCTTCACCAGGAGGAACCCTGGTTCTGCTGACAGCACCTCATGGCACCGTAGTCATATACTGAGGAGAGGTAGTGAGGGCAGTCCCAGAGCTACCTCAGAACACCAAAAGACGGTACCAGCCTCACAGAACAGCAGATTGACAGCTGTGCGTGGACCTCCTGGAGAAAGTACCATCCCTCTGGAACTCAACACAGCTGCTGCTTTGCTGCCAAACCAAGTGTCGGTCATAACAAAGCAGGCAAGACCCGAGAGGAAGCAGAATAGCAGCCTGGAGCAATGGCAGCCACGTGGGAGCACATCGAGTCCTTCTACAGACAGTAGTGAGGAGTCAGGTCCTACGCCATCGGTGTCAGAATGTACTGGAGATGGGGATCCCATAGCACAGGGCAGTGAGGGGGTAGCTGACGAGGAAAGCTCTTCTCCACAAGTTTCTGTGTCTTGGCGAAAATCAAGTGATTCTCCAAGTGGCTCTGTGCCAACAGAGAATTTTGGTTCTACAGATAAGTTACCCTTTTCCCCTGGCAACAACCTCATCCAGAACCAACGTGTCATGAATGAACTCCTGCAGCAGAGACCCAGGAGGTCTCCCTATACCACACAGTCAGGTGCCCGTAGGCTGGAGGCTGGGAAGATACTTCCAACTGAGGTGCCATCCAGAGACTGCCCTACTGGACAGATGCTCAGTGGAGCTCATCCCCAGGCAAATGCTGAGGCCTCTGTAGCTACAAGAGATTCTCGTAGTGCTCCACAGAATGCCAGCACACCCCCCACAGTGCCTATCAGGGCGCTTCTCAGAACCCTTGTCCCCCCCGGCCCCGTCTGTCCTTCATTTCTTGGCAGTGCAGATGGGGAGACACAGAGTACCTCCCAAAGTAGTCTTCTTGAGGCTTCCTCCTGCTACACAGGCATCAGAGAGCAAAGAGAGGATACTGAGGTCGAGGATGAGGCCTGTAGCTGCAGTGAGGGAGAGCATGAGGCTGAAGCCGCACTGGGGCGCAGACAGCAGGGTGCCGCAGCAGGAGACTCACGGAGACACTTGGGAGACCCGGAGGCTGGAGTGGCTAGGGTCAGGCATGCCTCGGATGTAGGTGATCTGACCTCAGCGCTGCAAGGATGCAACCTAAGCACTTTTCTTTACATAGACAAGCTCTCTACATCAGAGGTGGTTATGTTTCTTGAAAGTTGTCAGTTAAGGGATTATAGTTCCAGAGCCTCTATTTCAGAATGTTCTAGCAAAGAAATGAACAAAGAGTTCAAACAAAGTGAAATCTTCAGAAAGAAAAGGTTCGGCGAAGAAGGAACCCTCAGGGCCTCGGAAGAGTGGGTCGAGTTGGAGGGAGACAACTCTAGTGTCAGGAATTCAAGCCAGCATGCTTGCTCGCCATCTGATATTCTCACCAAGACCGAGGAAGAACTGGATGCAAACAGTGGGGACTGCAGTGAGAAGGATGCTGAGCATGTGTTGCCCTTAAATACGAGCCACAGCCAGGCAGCTGAAGTGCTGATAGAAAACATCCCACCCGAAGAAGCATCCAACTCCGTGTCCCACATTGCAGAATTGCCCGAACCAGCCGCTGTGGGTACTGCAGGCAGCTCCCCACTGAGTGGCAGGTTTGACTCTGAGCATATTCAGAGCAGATCTGAGGATGAGACCGATTATGGGGGGTGTCGCAGCACTGGGGAGGAGGACCTGGCAGAACCTGTGGAGCTTTTGGCCCTGAGCTCTGACTTGACAGCTCCGCCAAGGATAGAACCGAGCTCTGACTGTGTGACAGAGACAGCATTTCGCTATCAGATCTCTGCAGTGACCTCAGAAGTCATAAGTGTACTGATAAATAAGGACCAAGACCTCGTGATTGAAAAGGGGGACAACTGGACTATCATCAGTGGCGTCGCCATCTCTCCCGGCATGGAGCAAGTCGTTCTTTGTGATACTCTCGATGCTTTCGCTTCGCAGGATCTGGGAGGCCTAGGCAGTGGCTCTGTGGAGAAGTCCCCCAAAGCCAGCCCTCCTGGCTCTCTACCTCAAGAGCTTCCATGTAGTGCCCAGGAGGATGTTTCCAGCAGTGGGCAGAGTGACAACTTTGATAAGAACCATCTTCGGAACAGACCTGTGAAGCCTAGCATCTGGATTCGCTCTCAGATATATGATCAGACACTTGAGACGGAGAAAGTTGCATCCGATCACACGTATTATAACTGGAAATTAGAACCACTTGATAAGAATAAGACTCAGTCAAAGATTTCCAACAAAGATCAATCAGGCAAACTAGCAAAGACTCCAGGACTCAACAGAGGGGAAGCTCATCTGGATGAAGTCTCTCAGCCAGTATCAGGGGAAAGAACAAATACAAAAATGCCAAGCAGCCAAGCTCAGTTCACCGTGGTGGGTACAGATGTTTCTACCCCTCCCAACTGTTCCCCTGATACTCTGAGCAAGATCCGGCAAGAAGTGGGGCCTCCATTGCCTCCTTTGCTCCCCCCACTGATAGCCACACCTCCAAGGACATCACGGCCACTGTCTCCTCTCGTATCAAGTTCTAGTCCGTCCACACTGGCCTCAGCTGCCGGCCGCGTTTCCCCCCACTGTGACATTCCAGGGCCTTCTGTGTTGTCTCCATGGCCGGAGGAACTCCAGCAGGCCTCCCCACTGGATCCCTCTCCATCCCCATCTACAGCGGCAGCCACTGGAAGGATAGTGTCTTCTCCTCTGCAATTCTGTGCTGCTACACCAAAGCACGCACTTCCCGTGCCTGGCCGGCTCCCATCCTGTGCACCTGGCCATGCTGCTGTGAGTGGGCCGCAGGAAAATTCTGTTAAAATCCTTGACACAATGTATCCAGAGTTATCTGCCAGGGCCCGGACCCTCAGCCTCCTCAAAGGGAACATGCAGCTGTCCCGAGGCTCCTCTGTGGATGGAAAGGTGTTGCCGGGGCGTGTCAGTGCTCTCATAGGACTCAAAGCTATCACCTCAACATCAACTGCTTTTGTCCTAACGGGGAGCACCACTGGTGGTGACAGTAGCCAAGGTAAGTCACAAGGCTTGAGTGTGCAGCAGGATACAGGTGGGAAGAGAACCCTGGCAGCATCCATCCTGAGGAGTGCTAAAAGACTGCGCCTAGAGAGTGAGTCCCCAGAGCCAGACAGCAGCCGGGAAACTGCAGGAGGAGTCCCCGAAGACCCCCCAGGAGGAGTCTCACCAGTTAAAGTCGTCCCAGCTGAGCAAGAGCAAACTGCTGCCCTGGTTTGCAGTCCAGCATCTCAGCAGCGTGTAAACCCACGGGAGATGGCAGAGTCGTACAACATAGCCATATCTCGAGCTCTGAGGAAGATTGCTGAGTCCTCCTTTGACCTGCTTCCTGTCATCCGTAGTCACGTGTATGTGGGAAATATCTCCAAAAAGCCTGTCATGAGAGATCAAGAGAAGGAAGTTGTTTATGAATTTAGCACAACAAACAAGGTAGGTGGCCGCCTTTCTCTCCCTTTGGGTGGGTTAAGATTAAGATGAGTGTCTAGCAGGGACTGGCTAGCGAGGTGACACTGAAGATGCCCCTACATCTGTAGAGATTAGAAACGCAAGACCACAGTGGACGCTTGACACATGCAACTCTAGAGACAAGTCTGTCAGAACAAAAGTTTTACATTTCCAGATGGTACTGGCGTGTCAGGCATACAGCACTCTTCCTCGGTGCGCCACATTCCCATTGCCTACATTCTTTCCCGCAGTGCCAGCATCGTGCAGACCAGTGTGCGGCTCCCGAGGACTTCATAGCTGTGTGTGCTAAGCATCCCTCAGCTCCTTGCCCAGGTGACTCCAGTGCCTGCTGGATCACTCTCCAGTGGCCACTGTCATATGCAGGATGTCATCGGGGACTAAATACATTGTTTTTGATTGGTGCCTTTCAGAAAGCCTGAGAAGCTCAGGTGTCTTGAGACGGTCTTCCATGTGAATGGCTATCCAATTTTTAATGATACAATTCTCTTTCAAGGGAAGGAAAATAGATAGCACCTAATCCCATTTAAACAGTAGAATAAGTGAAAATGGGGATAGAATTAGCCTGAGCTTAATGTACATACACAAATGCTTGCACACATGGATTCTTAGCAAAAAACCAGTGAATTATAATTTGAGTGGCAACCATGTCATCATAACCAAGAAGATGTATTTATAGATTTGCTGTGGCATCGGTAGCTTGACTGATCCTAAGAGGTCAGTCATAGGAAGTTCTCTCTCCTCTGGCTATACCCATGGCTACCATGCTAGACAAGTTGCTATCAGTTATTGTGGCCTACCTTCTATGTAAGTTTTATTTGTCTGATAGATACCTAATTAGGATTGGTTCTTGCATCACTAACCATAATTCTTTTATCTTTCCCAATCCAGCATTTAGGAGAATACTTACTTCGCTCTATTCTCTCAGAGCTAAAGGTTCAGAAGACATCTCTAGACCACAGTTACATCCATGCTCTGTGCCGAGTATATGTGGGCATTTGTCGGCAACTTGGAGACTTGGAAAGAGCTCGCTTGTTCTGTTATAGTCTTCTGAAAGAAGGTGTGTTCAGGTTGCAGCACTTGAATTGAAAACCTGCTGTTTGATTTTCCACCCTATACTTGCTTCTGTCTTTTCAGCTGGTTGTATCTTTAATGTTTTTCATCTCTGAGTGTGAGGCCAGGTTGGTCTAGAAACACTGTCTCAAAAAAAAGTTCTGATCTATTGGAGGGCATAAGTAACTAACTAACCATACTAGTTTTCAACTGAATGTACTTAGAGTTAACTTACATCGGCACATACTTCTCTTTGTATGTAGGTTGTCTCTTGTTTACTTTATCCCTGTGTTGCGAAATAATGGGAATCCTTGTTCAGTGACTACCATCCATATTGTTGTGCCCTGGCTAATGACAGTAACAGTCAGATGAATCTGTAGCCTCATGAAACGCTGTACTTAGTGATGAAGAGGAGGTAGAGGAGCAGGGCTGACCTCACTTAACTTCCCCTCTCCTGCAGCTTCCTCAGTCTCAACTGTGGCTCCAGATTAGGAGACCTGTGTGACAACCAACCATCAGTGCTTGTAAACAGGGCAAGGTAGGAACACAGCACAGCGTTGTACCAGGAGGTCGGTGTCAGTGTGCCTCCATTGTTTATATTCACTGATTTGCTCAGTTACCCATCGTGGGACACATGTCTTGTGGCCATGAAAGGGCTGAAGACCTGGTAACACAGGGACACAAAGGTGGATAGCAGAGAGGAGAGCAGGTTAAACTGAGTCCCATCGATTTTTTTCTTACTCAGTCACAGGCTGTCTGTCGGTGTTCATTCCGTGACTTCACAGGTGTCCTGAATCATTTTCTGTTCCATATTCTCCTGTTGACTTTGTGACACTTACCTTCCTTTCCTTTATAGGAGACAGATCGCTTTATTCCCACTCTCCCATTATATTGTATAGTCTGTCCCACCCCAGAAAAATGCACTATATACAGCCATTAACCATTTGTTGTGTAACTGGGTTGTACTTTGGAAGGTAGGTTTGATAGTCTCGGCAGGACTAAGGGAAGCTTTCTCTGTCTAGTGCAGAATTTGGACCAGACTTAGGAGGGGACATGTGGCATTGCTATGACAGGAGCAGGCACCAGAAGAACAGGTGTACACAGCAGCACATCAAAATAGTACATCAAGTTTATGCCCTGACCCACTCACCTTCCTACCCAGCAATAATAGACAAAGGAGAAGAAAACTTTAGTCAGGTACGCCTTTATGACAAACAACAAAACGCCTCACATTAACTGCATCGGAAAAGTGGTTTTGTTTGTAAAATTAAGACACTCATGACATACTGAGAAGTTCCACCTGTAGGTCACATCCAATAGAAATGCAGTCTTGAGGACACAGGAATTTATGAGGTTTAATTCATAGTAGCCTGTAGTGGAAACAAATGTCTGTCGGAGAGTGACTGAACAGATCAGCACACTGTTATCTGCTGAATAACTGACCACTACATAGTTGTGCAAGTGGACGGGCTCCTCTTGCGTGCAGCCCATGGGTAGGAGTGTCAGAGAGAGAGAACACAGCACAGTAAAGCAGTATTACCTATTTGATTTGTAGTGGTAGTAAACAGACTTGGGGTCCTCCATCTGAGAAGGAGGTACTCTCTAAGAGTATACGTTACTGTTTGTCAAGTTTATTTAAAAGAGAAGTCTGGAGAGTGGAAGAATTTGCAGCAAAATAATTATATATATAAAAAATCATGTTAGAAAGTTGGTTATATTTTAAACCTTGTACAAAAATATAAAGCATAGTATGAAAAGGCGGTTCTGGCCAGGAGGTAGGGCTCCATCAAAGGAGAGAAGTTAACATCCTGCCTCTGGATTTCTTCAGGCTCAGGATTTTGCCATTTGATACACAATATTATCATAAGACAGTTCATTCCACACGACTGTAACCATTTGTTTATGTTTAAAGGACTAAAGTGTAACTAACAGTGTGCCGAATCAGATGTGGCAGCTCACTCCTAGAATCCCAGCACTTGGGAGAGTGAGGTGAGAGTTTGCCATGAGCTTGAGGCCAGTCAGAGCTACAGAGCCAGACCTGTCTCAAAAGAAAACCCAGAGAAATACCTGAGATGGAGAGGAGGAAAGAAGGGGTTTTGAGACATTGAAGATCCCCACTCGCCACCCACTCACAAGCCTGTCGGCTGTGGGTACCTTGTGAGGTACCTGTGAAGTAAAATCCATGTCTGGTTTTAAATCACTGTCCTAGGTGAGACATAAAGGCTCTTCTTATCCTCTCTTTCTTACAGATTTTCCAGAGTCTGAGAAGTTGACTCTATTCATTGCCAACATGTGGCGTGAAGTGTTTCTCTCCCAGTCAGCCATTAGTGAAGCGATGCAGCTGGTTGCCAGGCAGCGTGCCAGAGGCGAGGTTCTGAACTGCCTGAGAGCATTCCTCAGCTGGGAAAAGGTACACTCTGTGTTTGATGTTTTTTTCTGCAGTACGTGTAGAATGAACATGATATGCAGCTTTGTGTTTCCTTTTGTTAAAATTCTTGAGCATTTTTAAAAGACGATATTTATTTATGTTTGTGTGTCCCATCCATGCCTGTCTTCTCAGTGTGTCTGTGTGTGTACCTCAGGACAATCTCAGGAATCTTTTCTCTCGCCCCACTGTGTTGGCCCTGGAAATCAGTCTGAGGGCGGAGGCTTGGTGGCAAATGCCTTTACCTGCTGAGCCATCTCACCAGCTTCCTCTTGGGCATTTTAGAGTTATTCTTCACAGTAGACCCTTTACAACATTGTGCTAGCCTAATTTTATTCAGTTTATTCATTAAGCATTCATGACATCCCAGGAAAAATTCCAGACCTCTAAACCGTATGAAGTTTGTTTGTTACACTAATTTATGACTGATGAAACCCATGGGTCTGTAATCCGCGGAGACAGGGACTGTACTCTTATGGAAACCTAAGAAGTGTCAGTAGCTCCCAGATGTCCAAGCTCAGGCTTTGCTCTGTTGATCTGAGCCTGTGTTTGCCCCCCAGGACATGCTTGCAGTGCTAGGGGGATGCTGAGCAGTCCAGCTTTGTTGGTAGTTACATGGTTCACACAGTCCCCTGCAGTTCCACCCAGACCTTTCAGGGAAAGAAAGTTTTTCTCCACAAAAAGACAAATGTGAATGTTCATAGAAACAAAACTGGGTACAATCTGATATGCCCTTTCTGGAGGTAAGCTGCCCTCAGTCAGTGGTGTGTCCGTGTGACTTATTACTCAGCAGGAGGGGGAGTACTTAAGCTGCTCACATAGTTGAGAACACAAAGCCCAGAACTCTGGTCTCAAAAGCAAAGGAAGCTGCCATCATCACCCAACAGTTTGATCAACGTTTGTAGAAGGCAGCAGTGTCTATGGGAGTTTAAGTGTTAGTCTACATTTTATAACCTTAACTCCTGGTTGTACTGACTTCAGTGTGCTTCTATCTGGAGTGCGCCCTTGGGTACAGGTGGAGACCTGAAATTGACATCGATGTCTTCCTCCATTGCTCTCCACTTTATTTCTTGAGTCAGAGTCTGTCTGTTGAACCCAGAGTTCACCGATCCAGCACAGGGATTGCAGACACCTCACTCACCCAGTGGATTCTGGCCTTGAACTCAAGTCCTCAAGCTTGCATGGCACACATCTTACCAACTGAGCCATCTTTCCCATGTGACTTTTTTTTGTCTCTAGGACCTTAGTTTATTGAGAGGCAGATATGACTAATGCTATTTAAAAAGGGGGAGGGGTCAGTTTTAACTAGGTAGCACCTAGTCTCAATTGGACTTGTTCCTAGACCAAGCAAGCCCAAAATGGGGACAGGAAACCTTTGCTACCTCAGTCAGGGGACACAGCAGCACTCCAAAGATCAAAAACGTGTTTTGCAGCTCAGCTCTTCTCTGACTGGTGGGGGTGGTGGCTTCAGTAGTTTTAGTTGTGACTACTTTTTCCTAGTTCAAACTCAGGCTGCTTCAAAGTCACTCTTAGGGTAATCGGCAGTCCTCTAGATGCTTGTTACACTCTCAGATTGCTAGCGCCCTAAGATGTTGCTTTTTAATGTGTTTATTTCTGCCTGCTAGAACGCTCCAATAGACGTTGGAATCGTGGTTTCTAAGCTGCTTTTGACCATACAGCTATGCCCCAAAACAGAATTTCAGGCGAGTGAAGAGTTTGGTGAAGACCTCAGTGCAAACATTTGGGAATACATATTTGCCATTGATCTCCTCTGCTGCCACCAGAGGTGGATTTGGACACACGATAACATCATAAGGTGAGCAGCTTTGCTGATTTAAAGAAACACTGGGTTAAGGGGAGTGAAGTACAAATAACTTATTTTTATAGGAGTCAACAAGAATACCCCTAAAATGTCTGAGTACCCATTAACCCCCCTGCTTTGTTTTTCTGTATGCTGCTAGCTACCTTTCGTCACTTCCAGTAATGTCTCCCCAAAAGAAGTGCCTCAAGCGTGAGGGCCTATGTTCCTAGACCCCTCTTCAGAAGGTCATCAGCACAGGGCACCTCGGCGAATACAAGCTAAGGAAGTGTCACACTTGTCACCCTCGTGCACTGATGGACCAGAAAAGAAACTCAGGGGAACAAAAGTGTGCAGATTACATGCTAGCTGTTCTTCACTAGGAAAGAATAGGTCCTGGTGTCCCCTCCAGCCACTGAGAGTAGTTAGCTGAGCTTTCTCTGCTTCTGGCTCTAACCATGCCCCATCCCTTGAGAGTAGAACATTGTTTCCCCAATTTAGAAAAAAAAAATCTTTTTGAACAATTTGACTGAGCAAGTCTGGTTTAAGGGAGGGCATGACATTAAACCACTCACCACACAACCACAGTTGGTGGCTTGTGTCTTTGAAATAGTTTGTTTCTGTGAGAGTCACTTCTGCAAGAAGCTTGGTTTCACTCTCTTGATCCCAGGAAAGACAGACTTCCGTCTCACAGTGGGAATGGACAGCGGGTCCACTTTTACAGTGATAACTGTGTCAAGGGGCTTGTGTGTACACATGGAGAAACATGTCACCGTCAGTTCTATGTAGGGAGATGGCATCTATCTGTGCCTAGTGCCCGTCTGTGAGGGTGCGTGAGCCCTGGTAGACTCTTCGGGTGAGCTCAGGGGGCAGCCCATTCTTTCCCAGTGACAGGAGGGGCCAGAGCTGGCACCTGTCAGAGTGCTCTGTCCTCTGAGTGACTCCAAACCCTGCTCTTCTGCTCATCACTGTGTTCTCACCCCATGCCATCTACATCTGTAAACAGAAGGCGGTGGGGGGTTGGGAAGAAAAGCCAGGATTACAATATCAGTTCTGTGGGTTTGTCTGGTACTGTCTGCACGGTGACGGGCTTGTATCTTGTTGTGTTGTTTCTAGTAAGGAACTATGGCCTGTAATGGACAAGTGGATCAAATACAGGAAAGGCCATTCCAACATCGCATATACCCCGGATGTTATTGTCGCATCTGTGCTGAGACTGATTGGTAAGTTCCGTTCGACTGCTTTGGCCGCCCTTGTTCTTGTTAGGATCTTGGTGAGGACCAAGAGTACACTAAGAGTGTGCATTGAGTACAGTAAGAGTGTGTTGAGTACACTAAGAGTGTGCATTGAGTACACTAAGCGTGTGCACTGAGTACACTAAGAGTGTGCATTGAGTACACTAAGAGTGTGCATTGAGTACACTAAGCGTGTGCATTGAGTACACTAAGCGTGTGCACTGAGTACACTAAGAGTGTGTTGAGTACACTAAGCGTGTGCATTGAGTACACTAAGAGTGTGCATTGAGTACACTAAGAGTGTGCATTGAGTACACTAAGAGTGTGCACTGAGTACACTAAGCGTGTGCACTGAGTACAGTAAGAGTGTGCATTGAGTACACTAAGCGTGTGCATTGAGTACACTAAGCGTGTGCATTGGCTTTGAAGCGCCCTGGCATGGCTGCAGTCACACTGTCAGATTGGTGGGTTTGTGCTTCACCACTCTACTTACTCTTTTCTCTGGTTACACCGAGTCCTCTAGTGTCTCTGTCACCACTCCATGGTAGTATGTTTGACTTATAATTCTAGGGGTGATGTTGACACATGCACGGAGGTTCGTAAATTGTTCCATGTGGGCCAAAGATGACATGGTGGGCAGAGGCACTAGCCGCTAAGCCTGTGGGCTTCCATTTGGTCCTCAGGGGTCACAAGCTTGCACACCTTCCTCTAAGCTATCCCAACTGTAGATGTCTAAGAAGGGTCACTTTAGATTATTAGAGAAATGAAAGTCGCTGTTGGAGCATGCTATGAGACTCAGACTCTCCTCACTGTAAACTCTAGAGAGGCCCTTAGAAGACTCCTTGAAACACCAGGCTTTAGTTTTACTTACATTGTTTGTCTTAGCCTGACCTGTGGCAGCCTGCTGTCCATTCCTTCCAGTCATACTCTCTGCTCGTTAACAACCCTCATATTTTGTTTGACCTTTACGTGCCTTCATTCCATCTGAGGGACACAAACCAAAGCCACTCTGGTTTGTTCAAAGATCCCTTTGCTAATTAAAGTTCAAAGGCAATACTGTTGACAATAATGTTACCCTTTGAGAATGTGCTGTGTGAATAAACCTTATAAGTACATAGTGGGAAATACAATGTCCCTGCTGATTGTCACTGTATCTACAAATGTCTTTCTTCCTCTTGAATTTCATGCACTAGTTAGCAATGCTGTGCTTAGAACATGTATAAACCATCTAAGACAGAAACGTGACTCTAGGTGGGAACATACCTTCCTGGGAAATAAGTAAAACTAAGTGCTTTATGTTACCTAGTAAGACAACACAAGAAGCAATAACAGCCAACGACTAGATATTCACGAGCACCAAATCAAAGGATGGACGGGCACAGGTTTGGAAATCCCAGGCACTCCATAGAGCATAGTCTCAGACTACTTTGCTGAGTTCCTTAGGTAGTGACCATTTCTCTCCTAGATCAGGAGGAAGATAGTAGTGAGAAGGGCCCATGCTGGCAAGTGAGCCATCAGGTAGCATGCATGTACCTGGGGCCAGTCCTGGTGGAGCTGGTCATGGATTCGAGAGTCTGCTCTGCTGTGGACTAACTGCTGGAAGTGGCAAGCTTTTTGAGAGTTTACAGAAAGGAAAGCTGATTTATGCTAATCAGTATATGTTGACCTGGGTGGTTCACACAGGAGGAAGTGGTTCACACAGCATTTGCTGGTACAATGAGAGCAGGGATACTGTCTTTCCACTGTGTTTATGGCGGTTCCCCCAGAATGTGACTTTAAGAAGCCACACTGTATGTGTGCATGCGTACACCCAAGTGCACAAGTGTGTGTGTACCTCTGTGCACATATGCTTGTGGAGGTCAAAGGACATCTCAGGTGTCCTGTCTGGGGTATCATCTACTTTGTGGGGTTTGTTTACTTTCGTGTTTTTGAGACATTGTTTCTTACTGGACTGAAATTCACTGGATTATCTCAGTTGCCTGAGTATCACGATCCAGGGATCCTGCACTGGGGTTACAATACTCCTAAGTTTTGGGGGTCAGACTGAGCCATCTTCCCAACCTGAAGCCACACTTGGAAATGGGAATTGTATCTTCTTTTTACGGTGATTGTGTTGTGTGCTTGTCCTGCAGGGAGAGGGCAAGCAGGTGGAGTGCTGCTCTCTGGTGGTCAGTGGCCTGTGCCTCTGGTTCTTACAGAAGGTGGAGAGGCAGGCTCTGTGCTTCTCCTGCTGGTCTGCATAGATTTCCAGGGAAGCTTGTCTTAGAAAATGCAGGAGTGTTGCAACTGCTCTAAATAGGACAGCAGGCACTTTGGGTTAGATGTCACAGAATGCTTTCAGACCAGCTGCTTATATCACAAAAGCACTTGCACTAAATGTGCCTTATGGGAAGGGTAGTTCTCAAGTAAGTTAGGAAGAACATGCTGGAATTTTATCTCACAGCCAGAATAAGGATAATTGGAGTGACAAAACTCCATTTGTACTTTTGTGAAATTAAGGCTAGTTTATTTTTTAAATCTTAAAGTCTCTGGCTTTCAAGAGATAGAGTGATGTAGAGTAATAAATTATTCTTAAATAATTGATAATTACTACAATTGTTATGGATAAGAATAATTAATTATTATTACATAGCTGACAATACAATATAATGACAATACATAAGTACATAATATGAACTTTGAAGGATGGCTAGCCATCTTCAGTCCAGATTGTGTTCTGTAATGAAAAACAAGCTTTCTGTCAGTGTGTAACATGGCATAGTGCTGAATGAGCAATAAACGTGGCCGTTAGCCAGCAGCCATATTCAGTTATCATGTAGAATTTGCTCTAGCACACCTTACCAGTATTGTGTTGGAGATGATCCAAGAAAGTGAGGAAGGACCTGATGTACATTGGGGCTGCATGTTTCTTGACAGAGGTGATGCCTGCATAGCTTGAGCCTTGGACAGGGCCATTGACTGAGGGTGGCAGAGCCAAGACAGAAGTGTAGGTGAGAAGCAAGGAAAAAGCAACAGCTTCACCTTAGGGCAGGGGGCCAGCCCACTCTGGGAGAGGGCCTTCCCAATCAGTCATTTCAGGATAAACACCTTACAGACTCACCCAGAGCTTACCTTGTTGATTCTAGAGCCAGTCAAATTGACAGCCACATGTAACCATGATTATGACATTGTAATTAAATATAATGGTACTTCTGAAACAAAGTCAGTGGGCATGGATGGCATTGCATGGAATCTTTTCGTAGATCCTCGGCAGGGAACAGCACTTTTTCATCCTGTGCTCTGCATATAGTGTGCTGTGTTGTTTGGGGTGAGCCAAAGAAGGACTCTTAGTGGAGCAGTGGTGGTAATACCTTAGTACCAGCCCTCAGGAGGCAGATGTAGCAGATCTCTGTATTCAAGGTCCAGGAGACAGCCAGGGCTACACAGAGAGCCTCTGTCTCAAAGAAACAAAACGAAAAATGAAGTGAATCTTGTACAGAAATGTAACTGGTGAAAGTGAAGAGTGTTGCAATGGCTATTTGAGAGTATTTCTAGGTGTCCCTCCTTGTTTTCCCTGAGATGGGGTCCTGCTGTGCCCCTGTTGAAGTACAGAGTTTTTAAAGTTAGGTATGAAACCTGAAATCCACCTGACTCACATTCACCCACTTTCAGTTTTGTGGTCTGTAGTGTTCACCTGGAAAACAGTGGGTTATGTCACCAATACCTAGAGTACGCGTACAAGGTGGTGCTTAGAGGGGAACATAAGTAGTGGAGAGCTCCCAGGCTAAGGTGGCTGATGGAAGTTGTTGGTTCATAGCTCCCATGTCACCATTGCCCATGGCAGTAACTTCCTTCAAGGTGAAGCTTAGCTCCCTCTACTAAATGGCTCTGGTTTGTCAGTGAACATGGCCTGTGACAGGGTGCCTGGCTGCACTCACAACTCACCTTTGTCACAGTTTTCACAACAGCCTGTGCGCTCGGTGTGCTGTGTTTTGCATGCACTCCTCTGACCTCCCATGTCACCCATGTGTGCACTACAATCCAGGTTGGAAGCGAGTAGCTGTGCCTGCTCCCATCAAGCACATTTTTTAGTGAAGGCAGCATAAGTACTGTCTGGGAAGAATCGCCTCATTCAGTGAGACCCCCACTATGGCTGATCGGGTGCTGTCTTGGCTCCCTTGGGCCCTGCCTCAGTGTGGGTAGGAAGTGCATTGGTGACAGGCCTTCTGACAGTGGCTGCTGCTCTGTTGTCAGTCTGTTGGTGAGACTCCAGCCTTCTCTGTTAACCTGGTAACGTTATCCGTCTCACATATTTCCTATGGTGACCACATTTAAATTCCATTTCTTCATTGCTACCTGTCTTCATTAGCAAAAGCAACTCAGAGAGGAAAGGGTTTATTTTTTTGCTTACAATTCCACATTATATTTCATTTAAAGGAAGTCAGGGCAGGAGCCTGGAGGTAGGAACCACAGCAGAGGCCATGGAGGAGTGCTGTTTACTGGCTTGCTTAGTCTTTCTTAGAGAACCCAGAACCATCAGTGGGACCCTCCTACATCAATCATTAATTAAGAAAGTGCCCTACAGGCTTGCCTACAGACCGACCTTATGGAGGCATTTATTTTTTCTTTGCATTCTCTCTTCTCCATGATTTAGCTTATGTCAAGCTGACGTAAAAGTAGCTCGCATGCTACCTAAGAAAGCAACAGGTGTTTTGTGCTTTTGCCTGGGTAAGAGGAGGTGAGCCTTTCTCAGGATGCCTCCTGAACGGCAGGCTGCACCGTGATGTGAGCTCTGTGACCTAAGCTGTCTCACTGAACATTGGCTCCCGCTACAGTGTGGGATCTTCAGACTTAAACTACACCATGTGAAATGAAAGAAAATATAAATTTGCAGTTTCTAGGAGGCAATAATCATCATTTACTGATGCCTACTTTCACTGTGTTCTGTTTCTCCAGGTCGATTAGGCCAGTTGGGTTTGAAGGAAGGATTTCCAACTGCCGTAAAGAATATCAGCTCGGTTATTGGCATGTTCATACAACATGCTCAGGATGAAGGTAAGACCGTGACTTTCATGTCCAGAGGACATATGCCAGTGCCCCTCCAACTTGAGCATCATGTGGTTTTGACTCCCATGGTGTGTTGTTTGTTTCTGCAAAAGTCAGTTTGTGTCATAGAGCAGTACTTCCTCCAAAGAAGGAGCCCTGCTCCAGGCCTGGTGCCCTGCTGTCCAGGCGGCATCTTGAAAATGGCTCCCACCTCTTGCCGATGTGTAAGCACAAAACGTCTGTGGTTGGTTGCTTTTTATACTCTCTCACTCTTGATCATACTCTTTTGGGGGGCCTGCCACCCAGCTCCCAAATAAATCACACACAGAGGCTTATTTCTTATAAACACCTGGCCTTAGCTTGGCTTATTTTTGCCAGTTTTTCTTAAATTATCATGACTACCTCTTGCCTCTGGGCTTTTTCCTTTTCTTTCTTTTTTTTTTTTTTTATGTTGCTTTTACTCTTACTTTGTGGTTGGTGACTGGGTGACTGGCTTCTAACATTCTCCTCCCCTTGTTCTCTCTTGCCCCTCTCTTCAGATCTCTGTTTATTCTCTATGCCTGCCAGCCTCGCCTATCCTTTCTCCTGCTGGCCATTCAGGTCTTTGTTAAACACTCAGGCAAAAAAAAATCACAGCTTCACAGATTAAACAAATGCAACATAAACAAAAGCAACACATCTTTACATTGTTAAACAAATGTTCCAGAGCACAGTTTAACACACCTTAAAATAATATTCCACAACTAATATCTACTGCTTTGTTAAGGAGTGTGCTAGCCACTTTTATGTCTACTTGGCACAAGCTAAGATCATCTGAGAAAATGCCTGTAAGGCTTACTGTTGGAGCTGTGTCCTCAGTGAAAACCAGCATAGCCACATGAGGTGAGGGCCCTGCAGCAGATGGGGCCCAGTGTGCTATCCATTTATGGATTTCATGGTGTGAAATGTGATGTCTTGCTCTTTTGGGGGGGAAGCTTACTCAGAGTAACACTTAGAATGGTGGGGTCTGGTTTATGGTTTTTTTTTTGTTGTTGTTGTTTTTGGTTTTTGGTTTTTCAAGACAAGGTTTCTCTGTATTGTTTTGGAGGCTATCGGTCCAGCCCAGCCTCGAACTCACAGAGATCTGCCTGCCTCTGCCTCCCGAGTGCTGGGATTAAAGGCGTGTGCCACCACCGCCCGGCCTGGTTTATGTTTTGAATGTTGAACAGTCAATGAGCATGTAGTTAAACACTTCTCACTAGATAGGCAGACTGATGGCACTGGGCTGATGCTAGCATGTGCCTGCCTATGGACAACAGCCTGTAAGTGCTTACTCTGAGGCACTCTGACCAGGTAGTACAGCAGTGTCTATTGCTTCCATGTGAAAATACTCTTGACAACAGTTTAGGTATGCCTTGTCATACAAAAAGTACTCAGGGTCATAGCTGATGAGTCATCTTGCAAACACGTGCAGCCTGGACTGTGTGACCTAGGAATCATGCATCGTGGGGAATCATCGACTACATCCTAGACTCCCTTGTGCTAGAAAGGCACTGAGCTCACTTCATACTTTATATCACAGAGGCATGAGTCAGGAGCCAGCAGAGCCTGGTGGTGCAGACCTGTGTGCTGCAGCTTCTGGAAGTCTCATAAGGTCACACGTGCCTTGTTTATACCTCACTGAGTCCTGGCCCCAAAGGGAGCCCTATTCTATGTGTTTCTTGACTCTTCAGGAAAGAAACAGGAAAGAAATCCTTTTAAAGCATCAGTTTAGACACATGGGTTTCTTTGGTGTCTGCTTCCTGCTTTAGGAGCAGAACCTTCCAGAGAGTGAACATCACCCCATTCCAAAATCTGAAACTTTCTGAGCACTGACAAATACTGTAGCTGTAAAATTCCATGCCATGAAACTGCTTAATACACGAAATTATTAAAATACCGTGCTACGTTACCTGTGCTGTGTATAGAAGGCACATGAGACTGTAAATTAATGTCGTGGTTAGACCTGTGAGTATGCATTTGAGTGAGGGACACTCATCCAAAAGCTATACTTTGCCTTCTTTCCCTACTCTTCTCATAGAAGGCAGAAGATAGAGGTGTATGGTTAATAATGAACTTTGGCTCCTAAATCATTAGAATTTCAGTGAATTACATTAAATTATGAATTAATAAGTTATATTTTAAAAATTAAACTTTTGACAAGATAGGGATAATGGCTCTATAACTAAACTATCTTTGGCACACTGGCCTGGAGTCACAGTGGCCTTAGAGTCACACTAGCCTGAAGTCATACAGGTCTTTAGTTACACTGACCTTGTGGTCACAATGGCCTTAGAGTCACACTAGCCTGTAATTGCACTGGTCTTGGAGTCGCACTGACTTGGAACCACACTGGGTTAGGGTTAGGGTGGCCTATAGCCACACTGCCCCTGAGTCACAGTCTCTTCTGTTGTTAGTGTGGCACATGGATGGACTTTAGTCTATTTTATCATGGTTTTCATGTCTGTGCCCATTTAGAGACCGTGCTGGAAGATGTTTGAGTTTCATGTTAGTTGGTTGTTTGGGGATCATGTATCTTTGCAGCTTCGTGAGGGCAGAGGAGCTCCTTGTGACAGCCATTGCTCAGATGTTTAGGGAGTTCTTTTATTTTTCATTTTTAGACAGTCTTGAATGAACTTTTTTACTGGAAGACATTTCATTGCTGGCAGAAAATAGTTTGTCTGAGTAGCGTCCTCCAGGTCACACATAGAGAGTCTGAGAAACAGATGTTCTCTTAGCTGCTGTGTTACAACTGATGTGAAATTTCTTTTCAGATATCCCATGGGGTGTGCAGCTTGCAGCTGTCTATGCCCTTTGTGACTTGAGTCCTAGCAATCCAGCAGAGATATCCAAGATCCTGGAAGCTTGGCGGACACAGACTTCCAACACTATTCCGTCTGCAATCGTTAGCTGCCTCGAAGAGGTTGGCTCCCTGAGTGCTGAGGGCTCATCTGCCTCCACAAGCACAGGAGACACTGCACCCTGAGAGCTGGGGGCTCAGCTCCCTGAGATGGGAAGGTCATCTGAAGGTCATAGTCACTGTGCAGAGAAGTGACTTGACACCTTTTGTTGTAAAGGATTAGCCTGCCTTCAGCTAACTGAGGTCCAACAGAGAAAAGCATAAAGCAGGTGACAGTGCAAGGCTCCCATTTGGACTGTGTAGAGATGGCCAGTCTGAGGCAGCAGCAAAGTCCTGTGTGCTCTGTGTACAGGAGCAGCTCTACAGGCTCTGTGCACGGGGACAGCTCTACATGCTCTGTGCACGGTGACAGTTCCACAGGCTCTGTGCACGGGGACAATTTTATGTACAGGAGCAGCTCTACAGGCTCTGTGCACAGGGACAATTTTATGTACAGGAGCAGCTCTACAGGCTCTGTGCACAGGGACAATTCTATGTACAGGAACAGCTCTACAGGCTCTGTGCACGGGGACAATTTTATGTACAGGAACAGCTCTACAGGCTCTGTGCACAGGGACAATTTTATGTACAGGAGCAGCTCTACAGGCTCTGTGCACAGGGACAATTTTATGTACAGGAACAGCTCTACAGGCTCTGTGCACAGGGACAATTTTATGTACAGGAATAGCTCTACAGGCTCTGTGCACAGGGACAATTTTATGTACAGGAGCAGCTCTACAGGCTCTGTGCACAGGGACAGCTCTATAGGCTCTGTGCATGGGGACAGCTCTACAGACTCTGTGTACAGGGACAGCTCTGTGGGCTCTGCATGGGGACAGCCCTGTGGGGGGATGTGCGTACAGACAGTGCTATCTATGATGTGTTTCACATTGGATGATATTCCTTTCGGAATTTTTTATTTGTATATATATAGAAATGGGTTTAATAACTCACTGTGATTCTGATTCGTCTTATATCCATTATTTCTTAAAAGTCTTGTATGTGTTTTTATAATAAAAAATAAAAGCAAGCCATACACACTGTTGTTCTGATTAGTTATGTGTGGAGCCAAATGGTTCTCTGTAGGCTTTGGTGATCATTTATAATTGATGACTATAAAATCACACCTGACAATGGTTCTGGTGAATCTCCCTGTTTATTAAGTAGCTTCCTTCAGAAGCTCTTTTTAGTGCCTCTCCTGCCTGTGCTGTGAACTGGAATGGGATGCCCAATGCGTTGCCTGTCAAGAGACGGTCTCAGCACTCTGACCTGTGAAAGAGAAGTATCTCCTAAGTCATCACCCGCTCGACCTGGGTGAGGTAAGTACTGAGAAGAGGGCACAGATGTCAGCATGGGATATGTGGGCCACCCGAGGAGGTGAACTTAGAGGGACCCAGAAGAGGGTGTCAGCCTAGAATAGGGAAGGGTAGAGTCCTTCCCTGTTCAGGAGAAGCCCCTGCTGAGTGCTAGAAGATGCCCAGGCCCAACTGCAAGCGACTGTCCATGTCCTGTTCAACAGCAGCCTGCAGCACACTTAGGGCTGGGCCGCAGGTCTTCCTGTGGAATCCTAGGCTCCAGAGGTGTGATGGTGACTGCTCACCGGGGCTGCCCTAGGGAAAAGGGATGCAAGCAAGTGCAGAGCAAAGCCAACTGATGGAGGACCTCGAGGGTGTGTGTGTGTGTGTGTGTGTGTGTGTGTGTGTGTGTGTGTGTGTGTGTGTGTGTGTGCGCGCGCGTGTGAGTGTGCGTGTGAGTGTGCGTGTGTGCAGAGAGGGTACGGGGTGAGGCGCACAGACCTAGGCCTCAGAGGGGACAGGTACAGGGCACTGTGGGTGGCAGGAACAATGTTCTGTTGCATTGTCTGTGAGGACCAAGCCACTAGATTGAGTGACCGGGAACAGGTACACAGGCCTGGTGGTGGGGCTCACAAATGTGTGCTTCACATTTGCCTTGGAAACAAGATGGATGTCCAAGTGTTGGTGGTCTGGAGCCTGTGTAAGCAAAACTGTATTGGAGGTCAGGGCAGAGACTGGGGATCAGCAGCTGATGGAGGCCAAGCACTAACTGGTTCACACATTCATATCCATAGCCTCCATCTCGCTTCCCCTCCCCTGTCTCATCTTTCAGTTCATCTAGTGTCCCCAGGGTCCTCCTGGATGGAAGGTGGGACAGGGTGGAGGAAGTACAGTGTTCCCGTGCTATAGGTGTGACTGGTGAGGTGACCTGTTGTGGTAGGAAGTGAGGCCAGGGGGTCAAGTTTTGCATGTCTGGGGTGTCCAGTGGATGAGCACCTCTGCAAGTTTCCATGGGCAGTGGCACAGCTCCAGCTCTGGCTGCCGTGCTTTTTCTATTCTGCAAGGACAGAGGCCACCCGTAGTGCCGTGCGGCTCTCCTGGGGTGAGGCAACTTCAGGCTGACATTGATTTTTGGTACCCAGCAGAAGGCAGGTAGAGTCTTTTGTCATCTCTTTGGAGGTGACAAGTGGAGCTGGGTGGAGCCACATGTTTTTGTCATGCCTGCTGGCCCTCTATGGTCAGGAGCTGAGCTGGCAGGAATAACATGGTCATGGTGCAATGCATCCTTGGGGCTGTTGTATGGCTCAGTGAAGGTGGTCATTAATTTTTTTATTTTTCCCCTCTTTATTATTTATATAAAAAACAAAGTAATGTGGCTGTGCAGTTTATCAAATACAATTGTGGACAGGGAATGTGTTTGAATTGCGGCCACCAGGAGGCGCTGTAGGCCAGCCCATGAGCAGAGACAGGCAACTAGAAGCCTGCCATCAGAAAAGCCCTTTTCTACTCTAGGCTACAAGGTTGGCCTGGGCCCATTTCCACAGTACGTGGCAGATGATGACCTGGAAACAGGTCCAAATAACATTAACTGTTCAGTCAAATCCTCTTTGGTGATTTCTAAGACTACTCACAGAGTAAAATACTTCAGGGTAAAAATAAACATGTCCAGGCAGGTTAGTGGTGTGCAGTGACTGTGGTGGGCAGGTCATACGTGATACTCTGGCCTGACTGATGAGAGGACAGGGGCTTCTCATTGCTGTTTGACATACATGCCTGTATGTCATTTGAAGTGTGGATAGCTGTGATAAATGTGAGTTGTCCACATAGTTCCTGAAAAACCAGATTTTTAATGAGGTGGTTCCAGAATTGAGTTTCTAGAGCCAGGGAGAAACTAGTGTGTAAGCCATTTCCTTCTACCTTCCTGACACTTACCCATGAGTGTGATTGTGAACCCCCTCCCATGCCCTTCTAAACAAATATTAGCATGCTTTTATATAAAGGGATTGCCATCTTAATGTTGTCTGGTATGCTTGTGTGTTGGAGTCAGTTTGTTCCCGCTGGTAAGTCATTTCTGGGTTCAGGTGTCTCGTCCTGGTGTGTCCCGAGAGCTCCAGCCCCACACCACTTCCTGCAGGGAGCTCATGGGGCAGCTAGACTTACTCTGAAGCCTGTGAAGACCTCTGAGGAGGTTCAGTGGAGTCATCCCTTCAAAGGAGACGGAACCAGAGGGTGCTGAAGGAGAGCATGGCTAACAGGGTAGTTAGCATTAGCCAGCAAGCTGGTGTTAAGCTAGATCAGAAGCGACTGGCCATTTTCCATTTCCTTCTCAAATGGGAAGAAGACAGGGACATTCACCATTCAGCGTTATTCTGGAATTCCTAGCCAGAGGAATCAGACTGGCAAAAGAAGGAAGCAGCAGTGCCATTGGAAACAAGGAAAGTCATTGACACTGCGGATGATGTGACCTTAAATAGGGACCCCTTCCAAAAGTGGGTTAGGACTAAAGAATTCAGCAAAATCTCAGAACAAAGAAAATAGCACTCAAATTTCAGTAGTATTGCCTTTGCCAACTACAAGATCTCTGAAACAAACAAATGTCATTTCCAATAACCACCAAAAAAAGGAAAAGAAAATTGATGGAGATTGGAAGGCTACCACTGCAACCCACTGAAATCTAGATCATGTGTGACAGTCCTCACGGAGCTGTAAAACACTAGTCTGAACTCTATATAGAACCACAGAAAGCTGCAGATGGGAAGCAGTCAGTGCGTAAGGAACAATGTATAAGGTATCATGCTGCCTGAACCTAAAACACTACAAAGCTGTGATACTCAAGACATGATATTGGTGTAAAAAGAGTCTCAGGGATCGGTGAGACACTGCCATCGAGCCACATTGAACCAACATCAACATAGTTATAAAAATACACAGTGGGGTTTTGAAAAGTCAACCCAATGTGCTGCAAACTGAATATCCATGTTTCACTAGTCACAAAATAAAAAAAGGTTGGAAGCCATGTAGCAAGCTATTTAAAGGAAGCCTCATGAGTATACTGAGATAGGTGGGGGTCTTGGGGGTTACTAATTTGTTTTGTTTTATCAGATCTAAAAAGTGTAGGCAAACAAATGGCAAAGTTGGATAATGGGGATCACATCAAACTAAAATGCTGCTTAGCAACAAAACAGCCTAGAGAAACAACCTATAGAGTGGAAGACATCATCTATAAAGTGTGCATCAATGCAGGCTAAGGAAGACATCACCTACAAAGTGTGCATCAATGCAGGCTAAGGAAGACATCACTTATGACGTGTACATCAATGCAGGCTAATATGGAAAGCATACAAGGAAGTAAAACAGAGAAGACGATTAACAGTGGATTTGTTTATTTTCCCATCATCAGGATAAAAACACTGGACAAGAAGCAGCTTAAGGGAGAAGGGAATATTTCTGCTGGCAGTCCTAAGGGACAAGTCCACCGTGGTGGGGAAGGTGTGTTGACAGGAGGGTGAAGTAGCGGTCACATCGTATCTGCAGTCAGGAAGCAAAGGACGTTCAGTGCTTATGCTCAGTTCACATTTTACCTGTTATTCATTCTGAGCCCCCAGCTGGCAGAAATGGTGCCAACCACATTTAGACTGTCTTTCCCTCTCAGCTAACCTCATTAATCTAGATCGCTTATAGACACGCCTAGAGATCTGTTTCCATGGTCACTCTGAATCCCACCAAATGGGCAATCAAGATTAATCATCACACCCATTAAAAATGGGCAAGCCGCCTAAACAGATGTCTCTCAGAAGACATGGGAATTTCTGATACACGATAAAATGCTAACTACTAATCGTCAGAAAAATGTAGGTTGAAGTCACAGTAAGCTGTCTATCCATCCCAATATGTGTGTCCGTTGCCAGTGAAACAGGGCCAATGAGGGTGGCCAAGAGAGAACCCTGCCACAAATACTTGTAATTAATATTCCAATGGGATGCTAACCCGCGAGTACAAGCACCAGTCCTGGGGCATAGGGCCAAGGAAAGTGGAATCAGCATCAGCATGTTGCAGAGACATCTATACTCAGTGTCCACAGCCACATCATTCCTGGCAGCCAGGAACTGATGAACCAATGTGCAAAAAACCTTATGTGTGTGCGTGAGAGAACATAATGTGTGCACAAAGAGAACATCATGTTGCTGTGACTGGATAGGGTTGAATATTGTGTTAAGTGAACTTAATCAGGCACAAGGGAAAGAAAAAATCACAAAAAATAAGCACCATGAAGTCTTGGGAGATGTAGAAATGTTGCTCTTATAGAAACTGGAGGTGAAGGAGAACAGAGATTAGTGGAGAGAGAGAGGGAGAGAGGGGGAGGGTGCTGCTCCGTAGTGGGAAATGGATTCTAGGAAGAGGTTCTGGTCTGCTGGTGCCCAGCAGGTAACTAACAACAGATGACAGGGCATGTCTCAGACTTATCCAAATATTGTACAGTATACACCATACATTCTCATACATGTGACAATCTTAAAATTTTAAAGTATTAGCGAAAACCTCCTGGAAAATCAGAATTGGGTTCTGTGGTTCTAGCTGTTGGTACCATTGAGAGCAGTGATGACCTCTCCTAGTGCACATGTCACCAAGGGATCCCTTGGGAAAACCAAATACAACTTTAGAATGCAAACATGTTCCTTAGGTGATGCCATGAGGCAGGTTTGCCGAAGAAACACGTGTGCGGTGCTGCAGAGCCACCCGT